TAATTCTGCTTTTGCCTCACTGCACATGAACTAAAGTTTCATAGTATTTAACTTCAAGTTACGCTCTGACCCCATTTTCGGGGAAAGTGCAGAGTAGTTGACATTTTAAACAATTTCCTATCAAAATCAAAATGTACAAGGAAAATTAAGGTCCTAGTTAATATTAATTAAATAGTAGTAATTGTGCAAAGCGTTCGATATCGACAGCGTTAAGTATTTACATAGTAGACTGAAAATACTTAAATTTAAATACCAACTTTACAAAAACCAGTCTGCACTTACCCCACTTCACCTTATAGTTAGTTTTGACCGACACATTCGACAAATAACTACTGACTCTTTATTCTATATTCAATATTTAATCTGATTAATCTCATCATATTTCTCCTAATATCACATTTTTTCACTGTGTTCCTTTTCTTTTACCAGAGACGTTTATTTCTCTCTCACCTGTTATAACATCACCCAGGGGACATCACACATATTCACACCAACCATAAGAAGGAAAGAATTACATATTCAACATAAACTATAAAAATAAATAAATTATGAGGGAATAATATTATATACCATTTTTCTCATAATATTTAATAAGTAATTAATAATCAATAGATATAATTTTAATATTTTTAATTTGTTTCACTCTACTCCATGTTCTCTCTTAGCACACTCCTCTAGTAATCCCCAATTCTCTCTTGTTTTCTACATTCATAACAACCGAAAAAATATCTCAATCATACTAACTTCACCCACTCAGCGCTCTTACCAACCCATTTTCTTGTAAAAACAACCTCACATAAATAGTGGGTAACATAGGAACAATCTCATAAAATGATTTTTTATCTAAACAAAAGTCAACATATTTTAATAAATACTTGATAATAATTTTTGCAATTAAAAATGAAAAATCTCAGAAAAATCTTTAAAAAAAATACAAGACTTTTGTATCATATTTGCAATATTTTTCTACGTCAAATAGTATTTTACTTATAATATTTGTGTACATATTTGCAATATTTTTCTAGGCAAATAGTATTTTACTTATAATATTTGTATACATTTACATAAATACAACGAACACTTACAATACTTTGTCCAAAGAACAGAAAGAAGTTAATAATCAATTTATTAAAATACATTTTCCTTCCAATAGATTGCTTTCAACGAAACAGTCGCAGTTACAAACGTTCGAATCGTAGATGTATCCCGGAGCTAAATCCGTCGTGATTTAATTCCTCTCTCGTTACTTCAATTACCCATGTGTCGGTAATGGAAAATCCAATTAAACGATATCCCGATAATCAATAAATAAACTTCTCCAGCGATAAAACCCAGTTTAAAACGCGTGACCCTCCGTAACTAAACATTTACAACATCGATGTTTTATCCCACGAAGCTTAAAGTTGTAAATAATCACCATGGTCTGTAATGCACTTTTCTTTATTTAACGTTCCATATTTCTGGGTTCTATAACACGATACTCTGAAATATACAGTGGATATTCTATATAAGCAAATCTTTCGGGAATGAAGTTTTGCGTATATCGTACAGGTCCTACATTGATTGATGTCTTGCCGAACGTAGAAAAGGACAGAAGAGAAAAATATCACGGTCGCCGTTTGCGTATATCGTAAAGGTGCTACATTTCGAGCGAAGGAGACTGAACGTAAACAAACAGTGACCTACTAGAAGGACACTCCTAATACAAGAATAAAACTTTTTTATTTTTGACTTTTTCGTTACTAAACTTTTACCAATTAATTCTTGACATTTTTCCGATTAAAATGAGACCAAACACGACATACTTCGGGACATATTTACTTGTAATTTCAAGTGTTGCGCGTACATCGATGATTTTACTCTAATAAGATATTGCAAGTAAATATAACTCAAATTACGTCGTGTTTGGTCTCATTTTAATCTGGAAAACGTTGCGAATATGATGGAAAAAGTTATATAAAAAAATGGATGAAAAATAAAAAAATTAGCAATGGTCAAGTATTGCAAACAATCGAGCAGACTTTTGATCTTTGCCGACTGCCACGATCGCAGCGTCTCTTTCTTTTCGACTCGCTATCCTCCTCTGCGTTAGAAACTTTTATCGTCAATTAAACCAGTAAATAAAGTCCAAATTATACCGTGTTTGATCTCATTTTAATCGGAAAAATGTCAAGAATTAATTGGTAAAAGTTTGATAACGAAAAAGTCAAAAATAATCAAGTTTTATATTTGCATTGGTATTGTCTCACGGATACACTAATACCCGGATCACGTTACATTTCCCGGCGAGCGAACCTCGGGCGTCTCGAGGGGTCTTCCCCCCAGTGGTGGGGATAACATTTTTGCTTATATCGGAAAGGGCATTTTTGCTTATATGGAATGAACACTGTACTCCAATTTTCGGTTCCATGTGAGGACGGTGGTTATTTTTCCATAAGAATTTGTACAAATTTATTAATTTTAGAGATTGAAAAATTGTTGGTACTGAAATTTTTGATGCTGGACGTTCGGGAGATTGGGAATTTATTGTACAAGTGGGAATTTAGGAATGTAGAAGGATGAGAATTTGAGGGGTTTGGAATGTAGGACTTTGGGAAATAAAAAATTTAGGAGATTAAGAAATAGTAAATTTAGAAATTTACGAATATAGGAATCTACGAATCTACAAATCAATAAATTTAGAAATCTAGAAACCTAGGAATTGAGGAATTTAAGAATCTATAAATCTATATAAACTAAACATATAAATATAAAATTATTGTAGGAATCTAAGAATCTAGGAATCTAAAATCATGAAAATCTAGAATTTCTTTTATTTCTGAATCTTTCAATTAAAGAATTTTAGAATTTTAGAGTTTCAGCAATTCAGCAATTCAGCAATTCAGCAATTCAGCAATTCAGAAACTTAGAAATTCAGAAATTCAGAAACTCAGAAATTCAGCAATGCAGAAACTCAGAAATTCAGCAATTGAGAAATTCCAAAATTAAAAAGTTTCGAAATTCAGCAATTCAGCAATTCAGAAATTCAAAAATTTTAAATTCAGAAATTCAATTATACAGTAATTTCGAAATTCAGAAACCTAAAAATTGAAAAAATCAGTAATTCAGAAATTCGAAACTTCTCTAACATTCACTCATTCACTCATCTATAATAAACTTACCCAACACCAAAATCGAGTACCAGTTTTGTTCAATACTGTACACCTCTCCGCTCTATTCGATCAACGAGGTGAAAACGCGCAAATAAAGCAGTAAAAAAATCGATATTGCGGATTTTGATATTCGTAAACGCGCATCAGTGACGTATAGACCATACATGACAGGAAAGTAGTAACGTCGATAGATTTTTCGTCCGTGTATCAGAGTGTGGGGTGATGGAATGCTGACATCACCATCTATCCACTGCATCGAATAACGATGGCTATCGTATAAAGGTGCTAATGGCGATATAGCTAGTGCATAACTGACTGCTTCCTAGTCTCCGTTTGCCTAACGATCTTACCTAACAAGATGAAACTTGATGATCCCCTTGATGTTCACATTGGTTGCTATAATATATTATTCAACGTCGGATTTCTACATCAAAGTGTCTCGGAAACAAAACACCTGTAACATGTAAATAGAAGTAATTAACGGGAGAACTACAAACCGATAATGAGTGATTTCAGGTTTCTACGTGTTACATATTATTGTTGGTGCTTTTGTTTCAATTGGATTAACTGGTTTAGATCCCTAGATACTTACATTTCTATATTTTTAGGTCTTTGTATATCCACATTCTTAGTTTACTACTTGCCAAAATTTCTATGTTTCTACGTCTTAATATGTACCAATAGACCTCTATTGGTATGGAAATGTAATGGTTTTAATTATGGGATTTCATGGGTTAGATCCCTAGATCTCTACATCTGTATATTCCTACATCTCCAAATTTCTATATTTCCAAATTTCTATATATCCCAATTCCTACATCCCCAATTTCCTATTTCTCCAAATTCCTACATCCCCAAACTCCTACATCCCCAAATTCCTACATCTCCAAATTCTTATATTTCCAAATTTCTATATATCCCAATTACTACATCCCCAAATTCCTACATTCCCAAATTTCCATTTATCCTAATTTCTACATCCCCAAACTCCTATATTTTCAAATTTCTATTCATCCTAATTCCTACATCTCCAAATTTTTATTTATCCAAATTCCTATATTGCTAATTTCTTACATCCCTAAATTCCTAAATTCCCAGTTTTCTACCTTCTCAAATTTTTATGTCCTCATATCTATGTATATTCTTCTAGATCTCTATATCATTCGATGAAATCGTAAAATTTCTAACTATCTTCATCCTTATATTCCCAGATTGTTATAATCATAGATTACTACAACTTTAGATTATTATACCATTGAATCCTGAAGATCCCTACATTTCTATACCGTGATTAACATATGTATTTGAATTCCAAAATGATCAAATATAGGCATTGAAGTATTTCAGAATTATAAAATGTAAGAATTACAGAATTGAGCACTAGTATCAGAGAAGTATCAAATTGGGAAATTATTCTAGTGGGAAATTATCGCACAAAGGAGTTATCGAATCGGAAATTATTGAATTACGGAACCAATGATTATTATCTGCAGAAATGAATGTAGTTTCTACATTTATTTATTCGTTTCTATCTAGTTCCTGAATATTGTAGAATTATAAAATTATGTGAAGTTAGGAAATTATAGAAAATTGTAGGATGGAGAAGTTAGCTAATTATGGAATTATTAAGCTTGGTGATTGTCAGATTTGATTTTCTAAATTATCGAATCTTGAAATTGTCAAATTCCGAAATTACCGAATTCGGGAATTGACAAATTTGAGAATTAGTGAATTTAGAAATTATGAGACTAGGGAATTATCGAATTGAGTTTTTATTAGATTAGAATATTATCGGTAGTTATCTGTAGATGTTGACGCAATATCTTATGTTTATTCATTCTTTTCAAGTTCCACCTACTTCCTGGGACAACGACGCTCCTTTAACGATCAACTAAACGACACCACAAAGCGTTTTACTTACTTCGCTCCGCGCAACTACGCCTGGAGCCGAGCTGAGGTCCATTACCCCTCTACAACTAAGAAACTCTTCATGCCTGACTTCAGCTATCACGTGAGTATTTCGTTGATTACTATTATAAAAGAATAAAATTTTAAAATACTGAAAGAGAATTTTGAAGTCTTAAAATTTTTGAAAATTATAAATTTAGAAATTTGGATATTTAAAAAATTAAGAATTTGTTAATTTAGTAATTTGAGGATTTTTGAGATTTCAAGACTTGAAGATTTCGAAATTTCAAGATTTTGAGATTTAGAGATTTCAATATTTGAAGATTTCAGGATTTGCTGATTTTAAGATTTAGTGATTTTACGATGCGGAGATCTGCTGATTTAAAAATTTAGTGATTTCACGATATAAAAATTTGGAAATTTTGAAATTTAAAAATATGATAATTTTAGAAATTAGGAATTTGATAACTTTGATATTTCAAAATTTTTAGCGTCTTGAGAATTTGGAAATTTAACACTTTAAGAAGTTCAAAATTTCGGAACTTAATTTGAAAATTTGATGATCTGGAGATTTGAAAATCTGAATATCTCAAATTTTGTTTCAAGAAATTCAACAATTTTTAAATTACTGAGTTTATTTTCATACTTCGTAATTCAGTAATTTACAAATTTACGGACTTGAAAATTTTGGAATTCGGAAATTAATCTCTTAAAAGCTTGATAAGTTATAAAGTGGAAAATTCAAGTTCTTCGGATTTGGTAATTTTGGTAATTTACAATTTTGTAAATTTGGAAATGTAAGAAACTTGGAAATTAAAAGTTTAGGAAATATGACAATTTAAGAGTTCGGAAACGTATAAATTTTACCATAAAAAGAAATAAAATATGTTCCAAATTTCTAAAAATGATGTTTCAATCATGACAAATTCTCAATTGTAGAATATTCCAAATATTGAGTCCAGTACTCCATACTTACAGAATACTTCGAACTGAATATACAAGGTGTCTCATAACTACTGTTTGCTTAATAATTCTAAAACGAAACTTCAGATTTTTGTAAATGGAAATGTTATACAGAATCACGTCCTTTACCACTCATTTCTCGGAGCTGCACTAGTTTTGAAACACCTTGTATACTCAGTCTGAGCATATACGTTCAAAGAGTAAAAATTCGAACAAGATGCGACACTAGACAAGAAACAAGAATAGTTTAAACCTACACATTCATCAGTAATTTATTTATAATAAATATTTTGTCCTATCTCTGTAATACATTCATTTATAATTTCCTGTGATATATAGCTTTTCATTTTCTTATAAGTTATTTGCAATATAATTATTTCCTTAATACATATTCTTCAAATATATTTCGTACAATAATCATTTTCGTACATTCTTCTCTTCTTCAACTTTTCAACGTTATAAAATTGATGCAAATATCTCGGCAGGCAATATTAGTAATAAACAGAAAATTTAATACAAAATATTAGAGCTTGACATGAAATTAGATTCATTTGATTTGAATTTCCCGCTCGTTTGCGCAATCAATGTAGAGGGACAGCGTTTTCGAGAGATCAAAGGTGCTAACAAAGAGTGTCGCCTCTGATTCCATCTCTACTCTGTACTCTCGTTCTAGAATCTAGATTATGCTAATGCCATCTAAACTATAGCTGATTCCACAAATATTTTTGATGGAAATAGGGTATGATTTTATGATAAAATATTGGAGATTATTAAATTTAAGATAACACAATGACTTTTAAACACTAAATGAATTTATTACACAAGGAAAAATAACTAGGAGGGATCTCTTTCATACGCGATTTTTCATACAAGATCTTTCATACGCGTGAGAAATATCGTAATCACAGAGAAACAATAAGGAAGAAGTATATGGATATTATTTTATTAACATGTGAGGATCTAATTAAAATCGAGCGGTTCATATAAATGAACATACTTAATTACCGACTTTTCATTACATTACCGACTTCTCTTTGCATTTATTTTTGCCATTTTCATTTATACGAAAATTCAACAATTTTAGACGAAACAAATCTTGGAACGTCATCTGGTGGTAGCGGACGAGGCATACACAATGGCCAAGCTAAAGGAGATGGCGCACAACGACACCATCATCCTCCCCGCCGCCAGGGACAGCTTGAAGCTTCGCATCCGGGAACACCCCGAAAGTAAGTGTAAGGTTTATTAATATATTTTAAAGTTTGCATAAGCACCCGGTTGCAATACAATCCAAGATATCTTCTCAGATACACTCAATGTTTCAAATCTCGTCACTACTGAACTGTAAATGTGTTTGGAACTATTCCTTGTTGTTGTCGATGTCGTTTGTCGTTAGCGAACGGATTAACAAGTTCAAAGCTTCGTTCAAAGCTCAGTACTTAGCACAATCCTGGTCATTCTCAAAACTGATACTATTTCGTTAGGTGTAGATGTCAAGAAACGCGACGAAAACGCGATCCTTCCAGAAACTTTCGGTGAGTGAGTTCAGTGTTTAGACGTCGCCGGTGAGCGACGACACGTGCTTTCACCAGTACGAGTAACGCACATTGTCAATTTTGTCAAGGATTCCTCGCACTTTTCACGCACCGTGTTCAACGCGCGTATATGTAATTCATACTCTTCGATCATGTACACTCGGTTGCAGCGTAGGCTTCCTTTGGATTAGGATAAACGGAGAAGGAGTCTTTCGCCATTTCCTTTCGATTTCGGATGATGGAATATTAACGGTCTTTTACTGAAGACATTCTGATCAGTTAGCTATACTTTTAATTTTTGGATTGATGCAAGGTCATTATTAATTAACCACCTTCCTATGAAACAAAATATTATTTATACTGGATGCTTAATAATTATGGATGTGTAAATGGAAGGTGTACCCTGAATTTGATAAAAAATAGGAAAATAAGGAAAAAGGAATTAATGGTATGATAACATCTATTTTTCTATGATTTTATTTTCTTTATGAACGTAAAGACTCAACCAAAAATTGCGGATGTACTTTTTTCGTTCTCGTGATCTTTGGAATATTTTTCTTAAAATATGAAGACAGGAAATTGCCGACAGATGTCTATAAAAGTTGAATTTCTTACAGTTATTGATTTTTCACCTAGCTATTTATTGGAAATTTTAGAATTGGGGAATTATTGAATTGGGAAATTATCAGACCGTGGAACGATCAAGCTGGTAATTCATGAATATTTGAATATTTTGCTTAAAAATATGAAGACAGGAAATTGTCGACAGATGTTTATAAAAGTTGAATTTCTTACAGTTATTGATTTTTCACCTAGCTATTTATTGGAAATTTTAGAATTGGGGAATTATTGAATTGGGAAATTATCAGACCATGGAATTATCAAGTTGGTAATTAACATATTTTAGAATTATTGTATTTTAAAATTGTCGAACATGAGAATTACCGAGTTGGAAAAGTATTATACTGGGGAATTATCAAACTGGGCAATTATTGTATTAGGGAATTATCGGATCAAGAAATCAGGAAATTATTAGATTATTGTCAATAGTTATCTGTAGAGTCGATGAAAGTCTTATAGATATTGTTTTCAAATTCTATTTGTTTTCTAAAAATTGTAGAATTATAAAATTATTGAATTTAAAATTATCGAGTCGTGGAATTACCGAGCCTGGTAATGAACAGTTTTAGAAACTACCGAATTTAGGTATTATCGAATTCCGAAATTATCGAACTTGAAAATGACCGAATTGGCAACTTATCGTACTAAAAAACTGTTGACCAGGGGATTATGTATTAAAAAGCTATCGCACTAGGGAAGTATCGATTTAGATAATTGTCAACAAATTTTTTTTAATGAACTTACATACATTTTCTTTGTCGTATATAGCATTCTACATAAAAAGTATGAAAGTAAAATACTTAAAAAAAAAAAAAAATTTGTGTGTAATCTTATAAAGAAAGGTTCTGGTTCTTCCTAGGTCTATATTTAATTCAATTTTCTCCCAAAATCGAAAGGAAACAGTAAAGGACTCCTCTACATTTATTCTTAGAAAGCCTACGTTGCACCTGAGTGCACAGTGACACCGCATTAATATTCGACTACTACGATATTTAAATAACTGCTAGATATACTAATTTACAATCATGTTAAGGCAGAGCTACATAACTGATTGCTCACGAGTAACACTTCTGCTCCTGAGTAGATCTGAGAAGCACACTAACACACTATGCTCCCCTAGAGAAAGTGGTGATGTAGAGAAAGAAGAGTTTACTATTCAAAACTTACCTATTGCAAATTACCAGGTGTATATCTAACTTGTACGGTTAATGTATATTTACAAAAGAGTACCTAACTCTAATGACCTTAATCTTGAGATATATTGCCAAGGTCGTCATTCTGAGTAACTTTTCCTTATAACTTAATCATTGTTTATTACAAAATTATTAACAAAAAAGATATTTGAAAAAACATTAATATAAACTAACATGACCCAACCTTGTTATATAATTGATGGTATTCATTCTCTGACATTCAGTTTTAATTATATTATAAAACATGTTAACTTGGATTAGGTCCAAACGGTATTCCTCGATTACATGACCTGAAATTCAAAATAATTGAAATCTGTTCGACTTCATTTATAAAATCACCAGTTAACCAGTTAACTGTGGCGATCTGTTTGCAAAGCGCGTATCAGTGTGTATCGCGATAATCAAGCGCTGACGAGTTAGCTCCCAAGAATTTATGAATCCATCTCAAATCATTTACACTTTTTATTTCTTTATTTCATTTCGTGTTAGCCTCTAAATATTTTAAACATATTACAATTTACGAATATAATTTAGTTTTCGCTAAAATACGCTTAAAAAATACGGTGAATTTCAGATATAGTCGTCAAACACACTTAACTGGTTAAATAGCTCCCGGGTAGACGTGGCCCAAATACTAAATCGCAGTGAAAATCGTCAAATTTTTCGTTCTCAGATTACATGCAAATCTTGATTTTTACTAATCCATTATGGTTAATAACTTTTTAATGAACAACGAACAACAATTAAATCATAGGAAAAAGTAAATCAGGAACGTGTTCTGGATAATATATGTCAAGGTCATTAGAGCTGGGTCGCTTTTTGTTCATATTTATCTTTTCCTTCCTTACATTGTTGATTTTTGTAAGGAAACGTAATACTGATGGCTTTCGTTAGACAAAGTGATGTTGCGAGGAAATAAATCCTGCCACTTACTATAATAACTTAAAGTCAACATTATGTCTAGTTTTCATGAATGATAGGCTCTTCTTCCTGCAAATTATCATTCTCTCGAGGGAGACATAATCGGTCCTATACGCTGCAGATCACGCTGGCTATATAGCAATTTTTCGTAGGAAAGCGTATCTTGTTCGATAATGTACACTCGGGTGCAACGTAGCCTAACAACAAGTCTAGGGGAAAGAGTATTTCACCGTTTGTGTAACTTCAAAGAGTATTTCATCAACTTTTTGTTTTTCTGAATCCCAAAAGTCAGAGATCTTAAATTTCAAATCAAATTTGAAAATTTGAAAATGCAAGAATTTGCAAATTCTTTGTAATTCTTTGTAATCTTACGCTAAAATTTGGTGATTTGAGAAATTCTTGAACTTTAGAATTTGAAATTTAAACTTGAACATTCTTAAATTTAATAAAATCAATGTTTATACATTTCAAAATTACTAAATTACTAAATTTCAAAACTACTAAATTTCAAAACTACTAAATTTCAAAACTACTAAATTTCAAAATTACTAAATTTCACAATTACTAAGTTTCAAATTACTAAATATCAAAACTACAAAATTATTGAATTTCTGAATTTATAATCTTTAAAATTTTTAAATTCTCAAATTTCTAAATATATACATTTCTGGATTCGAATATTTTAGAATTGGAGAACTTGAGAATCGAAAATTTGGAAAATTTGAAACTTCGAAAATTTGATATATATATTATTTTTTTAATTTTTTTTAAATTTGAAAGTCTAGAAATTTCTAAATTTCTAAACCTGAAAGTTTGAAAATTTCAATATTTTAGTACTAAATTAACAAAAGTTATAGAATTATTTTATGAATTTCCAAGTTTCTAAATTTCTAAATTTCTAAATGTGAAAATAAGAAAATTTACTTTCTTCACTAATCGTTACCAACGTTCTCAGTTTTTATCCCACAGTGAGCATTTATCTGGTGGACACTCCTTCCCCTATATCGCCATTTCCCTAGGAAAGCCTAATCTGCTCAGCCGTGTACGCAACAATAACGCTTTTTGACTAGTTTTACCTTAGCTCGAGGATTACTCAATTCATCGAAATTTTTTCCAAATTATCTAGCCGTTTCACACGAGCTTAAAAAATACAGCCATAGAAGCACAACATTCTGACACCTCGTCGATCTACGAAAACGTGCATATAAAAACAAATATCAAACCGAATTACTCGCTCGACAAATAGCAGGACTTAATGAAACTTTCATAAGACCTATATACGGGAATCGTTTGAACACGTGTCCTCGTTCGCATTTTTGAATCATGTTTCTTCGTTACGATTGCCTTCGAAATCAATCGAGTACGAACGTTTCATGCAGGCTCGGCGCTTGAAAGGAATGCTTTATTGTACAAAAAATACGTAGATCGCGCTTTGCTTCACAACTGTTCACATTGTTGTTGCTTTTTGGGTCGTGCACGATAAACGGTACATTCTTTCTTTGATTCGCATCCGAAACTAACCGAAAACATCCATCGAAATATGTAGATAAACGAAGCGGCAAGGGCGTAGTCAAGTTGTCGTTCATGGGAGAACAAAATTTGTCTCAAGGTAAATTGCATTGCTATTTTCATGAATTTTGCATTTCTACTGATGTCAACCCATGAGTTAACGCGTGAAGCGTCTGACGTACCTAGAAAAGCTATGACACAATTGATTAGAATAGATAAATGGACACCTAGACTCACGTATTTTTGGTAAGGTGAAGTGGGCTAAGTTCGTAAACGGTCAAGTGCGTACACAGGCTATTTTTATTACAATATGAGCGAAATTTAGTATGTTCGTTTCCTTGTTTTGTTTCACTATATTCCCTTTTATATTTCAGCTAAGAGTACTTGTTTGCAGTATAGAGTACTTGCATAACGCAGTAAAAAGCATTTTATAGCAGATTTGTTAATAATTCTGCTCTTGCCCCATTGCACATGAAATAAAGTTCCAAAGTATTTAGCTTCAAGTTACGCTCTTACCCCATTCTCGGGGAAAGTTCAGAGTAGTTGACAGTTTAAACAATTTCCTGTCAAACTCAAAATGTACCAGGAAAATTAAGGTCCTAGTTAATATTAATTAAATAGTAGTAATTGTGCAAAGCGTTCGATATCGACAGCGTTAAGTATTTACAAAGCAGACTGAAAATACTTAAATTTAAATATCAACTTTACAAAAACCAGTCTACACTTACTCCACTTCACCTTAGTATTATTGGGTCG